GCGCCCGCGTCTGGGCGCTGAAGAGTTAAGGAGTGACGTGAAGTCCCCTTTGCTCCCGCTTTCCCGACCCCGGTCCAGATTCGCAGCATAAACGCCGACAATTTGCCGCACGCCTGGTGTGGCCTTCCCCTGGGTGGGGCTGTGCTATTGCTCCGGCCGGGTTTTCTCCTGTTCTTGCATTTGCAACCTCCTCCTCGAGGTTCCTGTGCCGCAGCCGTTCAGCGTGGGGCTCGGGCTGTTTTTCTGAAAAACGCTGGGATGTGTGTTTTTGTGTTTCTTGGAGGCGCTATTGCCCTGGACCTGGAGGCCTGAACAGGAAATGCCACATAAAAACAAAAGCAAGAACTGTTTCCAACAAGCTGAAAATCACTCCTGATTTTGCATATTTTTCTTAAAAAGCAGAAAGCACAGTCCTGCCGTTTTGGTCTCTGGGCTGCGGGCTTCGCAGGCCTGGCTGCGATTAGGATGCCGCCCGGGTGCCGAGGACGAGGGCTCCCTCTCCTGGGTTGAGATGAACTGGGTCAGGGCCGAGGACGCCTGGAGTTCATGGTGGCACCTGCTGCTTGGGGCCATCAGCTGCTCGGGCCACGGGAACCCTGCAGCTCCGACACCGGGCGGCAGGCTGTCCTGGTGTGTCTGCTCCGGCTCCTGGAGGGGGGATGAATGTTCTGGCCGGAGCGGCGCCTCCATCCGGGCTGTTCCTTAGAATCACAAAGGGGGCTTTTTAAAATCCAGGCCAGGCTGCACCCCAGAGTCTTGGGGGCATCAGTATTCTGAGCAACGGTCTCAAGGAAACCAGCCACTGGCCCCCACTCCCAGGAGCTCTGCTCTGATTGGCTGGGCTGGGCTGGGCTAATTTGCATTTCCAACAAGCTCCCAGCCAGCCGCTCCCAGCCAGCCGGTCCCTCCCTCGGGGCTGCAAGTCCTGCTGCACCCCAGGGCGTCCCCGCCTTCCCTGTGCAGGTGAGAGGGGGTCCATGTGCACCGGCTGCCCGGGAAGAAATAACCGTTTCTTACTGTGTGAGTGCGTGTGACCGTGAGCAGGTTTTACAAGGAGTAACTTGGTGAGCGGGCAGGGCCCCCTGTGCTCTCTGGGGTCTGAGTGTGTGAAACGCAGGCAGCTACCGGGAGATGGGTTGTGGCAGCTAGAAATCCACCTGGAGCACCCAGGGGTGCTGCCCCCCACCCCCACCCCCCGAATCCCAGAACCCTGGGCTTGCGTCAAGGAAGCCTGGTCGGCCCTTGCTTGGCGGGACACTAGTGGTCCCTTCCCCAAGGAACTGCTTCGTTGCTGAGACAGTTCAAGTCCAAAATACCAGCTGAGTCACACCACGCTCATGAGGCTCAGCTCTGTCCTTTCAGGCACATTCTTGATGTTCCTGCACAGACAGGAGAGTCGGTATGTTTCTTTGTGACAGAACATACTCGACGTACTGCTTTGCATCAGGTACATACGTCTGTGCAGATAACGATGTGCATATACGTCTGTGTGGATTACACCCCGTCAGGCACAGCCACGAGGGAAGGCGGCCCTCGCGGTCGCAGGGAACGGGTGTGACGCCCGTCACTGGGGGAGCTCTTACTCGGGGGCACTCTAACCAGCACAACCTGCGTTCTGGCTGTTGGTTCCAGGCCAGGTGCAGAGCAGGAAGTGCATAGAAGACGTGATCCGCTTCGCGTGGGAGGAGAAGCTCTTTCTCCTGGCGGACGAGGTACGGCGCGGCCGGGGGGTCTCGCTCTCCTGGGGGCGCAGGTGCGAGGGGCCGGGACCGGCCCGGGAACTGCTCGCGTCACTAACCTTGGAAGGAAGGAACCTCACTCTCCCGGGTGCCCCTGCCCGGGCTGGGGGTCCTCCGTCGCGTCACTGGTCACACGAGGCGGGAAGGAGGTCTGGAGCCCGGGTGGGGGTTCGTGTGGCCCGAGGCCTCTGCTTCTGGAAGGTTCCGGGGGCCGCGCTGCTGGTCCCGGAAAGCAGCCGAGCGCGCCCTGTCCCGCAGGTGTACCAGGACAACGTGTACTCCGCCGACTGCAGGTTCCACTCCTTCAAGAAGGTGCTGTCGGAGATGGGGCCCGAGTTCTCCAGCAACGTGGAGCTCGCCTCCTTCCACTCCACCTCCAA